TAAGGGCAACTGACTGGAATCAGTTAGCCCTCTCTGCAAATCACGGGATTTCTCCCGGTTCACAAAGAGGGATGAATGTTGCTTGCTGATCGTGAATGCACAAAGTTGAAATTCATAAGTCAAAATTGTCAAACTACTGCATAGTTCAAAACAAACAGAATGGCCTAACTAAAGTCACAAACTATCCAAAAAGTTGTCCAAAGGATGTCAAGATACAAAAGTACAAGATACTGTCAAAAGAAGATTTGGAAAGATATCAAGAAGACATAAAGTATGCAGAGTAAACATGTAATGAAAGCAAGCCTTTCAGATTCATCATTTCCCAAGCAGCTGCCCTTTCAGCTTTAAGTATACATAAAACATTGTTTATTATTTTAATTGTACTGGAGAGAGAGAGAAGAGGGAAAAGAATTGGGCTTACTGGCTTTGAGGCTTAAGAAAGAGATATAAAACAAAACTGCTAACACAGTAGAGAGGGGGGGAATCACAAACCAAAAAGAGAGCTCAGAACATAAAGCGCCAAGCAAGAGAGCCTGCCTGGAACCCTCAACCTGTGTCAAACCAGCATAAACAAATAAAAGCCATTAACCTGCAACATCAAGCCTGACCAGTTCACAACAACAAACCACAACATAAAGCCTGAAACCAACAAGCTCATAAAATCTGCATAAGCCAAGCATACCTGCCTAAACCAACAAGCTAAAAAAACCTGCAATCAAACTCAAAACAACCAGCGTAAACCAGTAAACCCTCAGCCTGTCAAAACCTTCCAGTATTTAACCAAGCTCATAAACCAGCAAAACCTGTACCTCTTTCAAACCTTAACCCCTGTCAAAGCCATATCAAAAGAGCCCTTAGCTAAAACTAGTAAAATCCTGAAGTGATAAACCAAGTCAAGCCAAAGCCAAGATCTTAACCACCAACAACCTGTCATAAGCCTAAGCCTCCAAACCAGTTGATAAAATAAGCTAAAAACCCTCAGTTATCAAACACCAACTGTCAAGCAAAAAACAGTATTCAAGCATACAATGCCAAACCCTCAGAACTCAAAGAGTTCATCACGGGGCAAAAAACCATCAAGCTAAAGCATGTTCATGAACACACAGGGTCAAACAACTCAAAGCCCTCAGAGATATTCATCATTGAGCTAGCATTCACAAATCATACAACATTCAGAGGCAACCAAACACAAGGCAACTCAAGGCAACCAGAAGAGAAGAGGAAAAGAATCAAATATACTCAAAGGAATTTCAATCAAATCATCATCTCAAAATACCTAAGCATATCAAGCTAGGCAACAGAAGCAAGCGTACGAAGCATACAGTAAAAGAGCAAGAAGAAGAAAAGAAGATATATTAGGCTTTCAGAGAGGCATCACTAAGCAAAAGGCGAAAATACACAAACCAGCAAGTTAGCTCAACGTCATCACCGTCCCTCCGCTCGTCAAGCCTCCAAACGCCTCCTTCCTCCTCCTTCGCAAAGGTAGAATTTCTTTTCATTCTTTTTCAAAACCTCGCGTAAACCATGAAACAGAATCAAATAAATGCGAAACCATAACATGCAAGACGAAAAAACTCTAAATGAGATTGAGGCGAAGTTCTTTACCTCACGTGAATCGCCGATTGAATGACCCGTGGAAGAGAGTGGACGGAGGAAGAGGTGGCGCGGTGGCTCTAGGCGGAGGGTTGCGTCTCAGCGACCTTCACATTGAGGAAGACGAAGATGAACAGAAGTGAAAAGAGAATGGCACCGTTTTCTGTAACCCTAACTTTTCCCCAACTGAACACAATAACAATTAACCCTAAAAACGTTTGTCAAACTTGCCTTGGGCCTTGCCCGTTTCTGGAGCGCCTAAAGCCCAACACGTTCCCTTAACACCCCCTTTGTTTCTGTTTTGATCAAGTATAGGCCAAGATGAACTTTCAAAGGCCCATTCCTCTTTTTACTAACAAAATATATTGTTCTAATACTTTTCTTTTCTTTTTTTATATATACACTTTACTTAATAATACTTTTATATATAAATTAAGATTTTATAAAAATATACCAAAACGTTCATTTTTTCTAATTTAAAACATTTTTAAATTTTAAAACATTTCCTTTCTTAAAATGCCTTTTTTGTACACAATCAATAAAATACATTTTTCTAATATACATAATTTAAATTTTAAACATTTAATTAAAATATTCTTTTGTATATATTAAACACAAAATATAAAGATACAAATTTATATCAAATGTAAGTAACAATTTTCAAACTTAGAACATTTTCTTTTCTTAAATTTTCTTTTTGTACATATTAAAGAAATATACAAGATTACAAAAATTAAATAAAGAAAATATTTAATTCCTTTTATTAGGTTAAACAATACTTAATAATACCTTTAAAATTCACATTTTCTTAACTTATAAATAATTCTCATACATGAACAATTACACTTACACAATACACTTTACATCTTATACATGTACAATTGCTATTCTTATACGTTACTATACATTGTTTACACTTTTATCGAAATTCGATTTGGTTGTAAATTATTGGACACTACATTCCTAAAGTCTCATCCCCATTTGTAAATTTGTACCCCACTCCCGGATACTATTTGTAATAGCGTAGACTTTAAATTCTTGCAATTTATCGCTTTCCAATTATACCATGATTAGACCTAGGGTTTGCATGTACATAAAATCAAACGCTAGATAACCTAATACAAAGAAAAATGCATGAAATCAATACACAATCACACTTGCACCCCCTAGGGTAATCCCACATGTTGCCTTCCAAAATGGGCCATGCTTGCACGTCGAGTTTCTTTGGCAAAACAATCAAATGATCATAAGTCCCTCGATGACGCTTTCGAAAGTCGCCTATCAAAATGATCAAGTCCCTTCAAGCAAATTTCCAAAGACACTTGGCACTATTGAATTCATGGTCCATACGATGACCCGTGCCTGTCCCGTTAAACTTCCTAAACGCAAGATTGCCCACCAAATTCAATGGTGGAACAAAATTGTTAAAAGGGATTGAAAACATAGAGAAAACCTTTGAGTACAATAGGGGTAGACAAAACTCTTAGTTACTTGAGATCAATTTGCAAAAACACTTGCCTCCTTTTCAAAAACCACACTTCATACACACTTTCAAACAACTCTCAAAAAAACATTTTGATACATCTTTTCGAAAAGATACACACTTTTGTAAAACACTCAAACACGAGTCAAATACAACGGTTGCCTAAAACAAGGCATCTCTTCAAAAACATTTTCAAAACACACATACACCACAATTTCAAGCAATCAAGGCAAGTGATCTAAAAAACCAAGTAACTAAGAGCCCATGGATAACCATGGATGAAAAGGGTGCTAATACCTTCCCTTTTCATAATCTACCCCCCGAACCCACGAAACATCTCAAAAGGTTTTTCCTGTGCTTTTTCAACCTTTCCTTTAGGATAAAATAAAAAGTCGGTGGCGACTCTTGCTCAACCGAACAAGTGCGAATACAAACGTAAAACTCAAGTCAGTTCTCCCACCGTATCACACATACCAATTTTGTTGAGAGAGAAATTGCTCTTGATATTGTTGCCTTTTGTTGTACCCCAAAATGTTCCATCTTATTTCTCAAAGAATCACCCTGGATCCTCAAGTTTGCTTCCATCCAATTCTAAGCCTTGAACTATAAATTTTCCAATAAAATCACTCACAAGGGCAAAATGGTCATTTGCACACTAAAAGTTAAACTTTGACTTTTGGACCAAAACCAAGTTTCAAGAATCATATTTCATCAAGACATGTTGAAATATGAAGTTTGTTTCATTATGGAATTCAAAAGTCAAAATTCTAAAATACTTAGAATTTTTCTAAGTGTTTAAGAAACATGACAAACTCAGAACTTCTGATCAGATTATCACCATGATGAAAGCAGATTCTGGAAGAACTTCTAACACAAGAGTTGTAGATTTCAACAAGATCTGAAACATTGCAGAACAAAACTTTTACTGGAAATGCTGGAATTTCAAGTTATGAATCTTCAAAGACACGTCCACGAAACTGAATCACTCAGCAAATTTTGGACATTTTCAAGACAGGGTTTAATTAGGACTTCTGGGCAAGTCTTCATGAAGGCTCAACCAGAGTTTGCAAAAGTAATTCAAATAAAGTCCACAAAGCATGTTACAAGCTTTATGGAAAGTATGAGAACTCCTTCAAAACATGCTGGAGCAGGGAGACTCAAAGATCAGAAGTTGGATGTTCATTCTAAGTTGCGTTGATGCTGAACTTCTGGCCCAGATCTTAGCTATGATGCACAATATCATAGTGCAAGATTTCTGGTTTGATAGATCTCATCATCATTTAATGCTCACAACCACTTTTGAGTTTTTATCCAAAGAATTTACCCACGTGTGAGAAAGAAGTACTATTGTTATCCTTGAAAGACAAACTTTTGTATAAATTTATGCTAGGCCCATGCTGTGCTTTTGCCTCTGAGGGTACTTTTCCTTAATTTATTCTTACAAATCCAGCTTAGGCACGGCTAAAAAATGCTAACCATCATACTTGCTTCAAGAACAAGGCATCACCATAGCATTTGAAGGCCATATTCAATGCTTCGGTCAGAACATCACCAAATCCTAAAACCTCATTTATGCAACCTGCTGCACTACTATATCACAGTCCTATAACCAACAGCTAATTCAGTCCATGCATTCATCCCATAATTGCACCAAACTAGCATACGAAAACGGTGATAAAAAAGCAATGGAACAGGATGCCAAAAGGGGTTAAAATCCCATTTGTTTTCCCCCCAAAATCACAACAAATTCACCTATAAATAAGTTGCTCCATCACACTTTCAAGGGGCTTGCTTTTGGGGAGAGAGAATCATTAAAAGAGATAAAAGAAACCTATGAAACCCTTCGTAAAAAATCCAGAAATCTCAAACAGAAAACCAAACCTTTGTTCTTCCCTTTGAGTCCAAGAACTTGGCATTTTCTCTTCTGTTGCTCTAGCTGACTCCAGAACATCTGAAGGCAACAGTTCAAGTCCCAAGCACATGCTCCAGATTCAAGGTAAGTCTTTATGACTTCGCCTCTTTCATTTAGAACATCATTTAATATGTAAATATTACAGTATTAATGTTGTCCATATCATTGCATAATTAGAAAAAAACTGTGGATTAGAACTTCCTGATTAAAGCTAGACTCAGAATTGGGATTAGAACTTCTATAAACTGTTGTACTTTTATCCTTTTGATGTGTTGTTTGTTAAGGACTGAATAAATTGCTGATGTGCTGATTAATATGAGGAAAGAGCTTAAATGTGGCATAAAACTTATGATTTCTATTCACTGTTTTAACACAATACAAAACTTATGAGTTCTCCTTACTATTAAACACACTGAGCTTCTGATGTTTCCACTCGTTGTTTTAACACTTAGAATTTCTGACTTTCACATGCTGATAACACACTGAACTTCTGATGTTCACTCACTGTTTTAACGCACAAAGCTTCTGATTTTTCACTCATTGCTTATCACGACACAGAACTCCTGACTTTTGGCTCACTGTCTGAATACCACCCAGAACTGCTGTGTTTTCCCTCTAACGTTTCTTGCAAGACCTCAGAATGTATCAATCCAGAACTTCTGATGCCCACTGACGTTTCTTTCTGAGTCACAACACTCCTGGCCTTAGAACTTCTGATCCCTTTTGTTTTGCTTGCAGCAGCACGCTGATTCTATATCTCATTTATTTTCCTTTTTATCACTTTTAATATTAATACTCTTTTTATCAATATAAAAAAGGCATAAAAATATTTTCTTTTTACTAGTTAATTCATTTTTTTTAATTCATTGAGACAAAAAAACCATTTTTCTAAACAAAGTCCTTTTTTCTTTCTTGCATTATTATTTCAATATGGTTGTAATAAATAATTATGATTTATTTTCTTGTAACCCCCCATTTGTAAATTTGTACACCCCATCCCCCCTAATGATTTTAATAGCGTAGAATCTTTACTTTCCGCACTTTTATTGCTTCCATATATTGTTAGTAACTTGGGTGTGTATGGAAAGACATGAAACTGACAAATAGATAACCCTAATCAAGACTAAACTCATGTAATCAAACACACTTTTCACACATGCACCCTTAGGGTAATCTCACTTGTTGCCTATCAAAAAATAGTCATGTCCCTCGAACGTGCGCGTTTTAGCAAAGACCCTCGATAAAAGATCGTAGTTCCTCGATTACCCTCGATGTTGCCTTTGATAAACGATCTAGTCCCTAAATGACATTGGTAAAACATCCATAGGTTTCCTTCTATGACTATACAAACGTCCCACACTCGTCCCTTGAACATCCAACGATGGGGCTTCTTACCAAATCAATGGTAAGATAGCAACATCTAAAGGAGGAGGAAAAGAATATCTAAAGACCTTTTGAGTAGGTAGATTCGCTCCTAGTTGCTCGCTTGCTCACAACAAAAAACATTTTATACACCAACACTCTAATTTTGAAACATTTTCGAAGACAACACTTTGTACGCGTTCTTATAGAGACAAGAACCGTTACAAAGACACCCTTTTCAAAATCGCTTTCAAAAAACACACATCTTTGAACTATTTTCCAAACAAACACTTTGTACGCGTTCTTATAGCAACGAGAACCATTGCAAAAACGTTTTCAAAATGCTTTCAAAACCCACACCACAAGAACATTCAAACAAAAGCAAGTGATCTAGCGAGTAACTAAGAGCCCATGGAAAACCATGGATGAAAATGGTGCTAACACCTTCCCTTTTTATAATCTACCCCCCCGGACTCAAGAAAACATCACTAAAGGTCTTTCCTGTGCTTTTTCACCTTTTCTTTTGGATAAAAGAAAAGTCGGTGGAGACTCTTGCTAAAACCGCAACATTTGCGAATACAAATGCAAACAAAAAGTCAGTTCTCCCACCGTATCACACCTTTGATGTGGGGAAACCACCCATGGTAGTGGCATTTGAGGCATTGTGTAGGCCTATAGTTGTCATGGCGAAGGGTTGCCTTCTCTCTCTAATAAGACTTTTATCTCTTTGAGTTCCTCAACATTTTGAGACATGCTCCAAGTTCGTTCTTGAGTGTCAGGAAATCTGCTAGCTGAATGATCGGATAAGGGAAAATGTGGAAATGGATATGCAAATGCATTTTAATGATATTCAAATGTATGTATGCAAATACATGTGTATGCAAAAAAAAATTATTTATTTTTGAGGCCATACTAACCACGGATATGTATTTTTGATACATGTTTCATATGTCTGCTACCAACCCCAGACATGTGTTCTTGATATCTTCGTAAGAGCTTTCTTCGGTCTGTCTCTTTCTTACGTATCCGATACCGACCACGGATATGTATTTTTTATACATGTTTCATATGTCTGCTACCAATCCCAGACATGGGTTCTTGATATCTTTATAAGAGCTTTCTTTGGTCTGTCTCTTTCTTACGTATCCGATACCAACCACGGATATGTATTTTTTATACCTGTTTCATATGTCTGCTACCAATCCTAGACATGTGTTCTTGATATCTTCGTAAGAGCTTTCTTCGGTCTGTCTCTTTCTTACGTATCCGATACCGACCACGGATATGTATTTTTGATACATGTTTCATATGTCTGCTACTAATCCCAGACATGTGTTCTTGATATCTTTGTAAGAGCTTTCTTCGGTATGTCTCTTTCTTACGTATCCGATACCGACCACAGATATGTATTTTTGATACCTATTTCATATGTCTGCTACCAATTCTAGACATGTGTTCTTGATAGCATCTGATGCAAGATGGGGGTGACAGCACCGACATTGTGGATCCAGGGGCGCCCCAACAGACAGGAATAAGAAGGACGGATGTCCATCAAATAGAAGGTTGAGTTGAAAACCTGAGTTCCCACCTTTATTGGGATGTCCACCTCCCCGTGGACCATCCTCTTCGAACCATCAAAAGCTCTTACCACTATGTTGCTGGGTTTTAAAGTCAGCCCCTCGCAATCCAATCTATCAAGGGCTTTTTTCGGCAAGACGTTCAAAGACGATCCCGTATCAACCAAGACATGGGCTAGGGTTGTTCCTCTACACTCTACTGAGACATGTAATGCCTCGTTGTGTTTCCTCCCTCTGGGTGTCAAGTCAGCATCAGAGAAACCCATGCCATTATCAGCTATCAAACTGGCCACACAGTCCTGGAATTGGTCAGCAGACGTCTCTTGTGGCACGTGAGCTGTCTTCAGAAATTTTACCAAAGCTTTGGCGTGTGCTTCAGAGCACATCAGCAGGGCTAGCATAGAGATCTTGGAAGGGGTTTGCCCCAACTGTTCAACCACATCATAATCACTCTTTTTAATTATCCTCAAGATTTCTTCCATCTCCTTCTTGGATGTTTCAGGAATAGCTAGTGATTGAGCCTTCGTCTGGACAACCTCCTCTTGAATGTTCTTTCCTTTATTCTCGGCAGTGTAAGTACAGATAGGAAGTGTATTGTCTTTGTCAGTAGGTACGCTTGCAAGTACAATCACTGGTGCAGAGGTAATCTTCGGAACAGCCACAGGTCTAAAGACTGCCGTTGGAGGGGCAATCTCTGGAGAGAAAATCCTACCACTGCGGGTAATCTTGCTAGTTCCGGTAATATTGCTAATGTCAGAATTGTCCTCTTCGGAGCTTTCTTCTTCGGCAGTCAGTTCATCCCGTTTAATACCATGGTAGAAGATTTCTCCACCATAATTCCATGGTACTGTTTTATCTGATTTATATAGGGCCGGCCTGGGCATTGTTATCTTAAGCGGAGTAGTCTTTGGAGCAGGTGTAATCCTAACGGGTCTTTTAGGGGCCCTGGAAGGATTGACGTAGATGGTTATTATTGAAACTTCTTTAACTAGAATGGGTGAAACAGGAGCATTCTCGAACATAATTTCTTGGTTATCCATCAGTCGTTGGATACCTTTTTTCAACAGAGGGCAGTCAAATGATGAGGACAGGCAAACATGGCAATCTTTGTCACAACCTGGGAAAATACCAGCTTTCAACAAATTCAGCTTAATAATCGGGAGCGGAGTTAACAGTTCATCCACGGTAGCAACAAACAGTTCTTCTTCAATAGCGTTGGCATTGTGACCATGCCTAGGCATTGGAGTGAAAATAACATTTGGTTTCTCAGGCGCTTCAAACTCAACTTCCTTCGCATCTATTAGATCCTGAATCTTGTTCTTCAGAGCCCAACAGTTGTTGGTGTCGTGCCCTGGACTTTCAGAATGGTACGCGCATCTGGCGTTGGGATGGTAATGTGGAGACGTAGTATTAGGATTTTTTTGGGGCCTCTTTTAAAGTGGCCAGATTCAACTTCAGAAGATGTGGTAGAACTTGGGCTGGAGTCATGTTAATCTTGGTAAATTGCCGAACTGGCCTTTCTACCCTTTGCTGGTTATTTCTCGGCTGGTATAATGCAGGCTTTGGAATCATAACGGCCCCCACTGTTGGTCGGCGCTCAGTTCTTCCCTGATTCCTCTGTGAATAGACATCAGATACTTCCTTCCTACCAGTGAAGGGTTTTTTCACAGCTGTTGAGGCAGACGCGTCTTTCTGAATTTTCCCACTTCTTATACTAGCCTCCACTCTTTCGCTGGTTAAAATCAATTCAGTAAACCCTGCAGAAGAACTTCCAATCAGATGATTGAAGAAAGGACCTGATAGAGTTCCCAAGAACATGTCCACCAACTCCCTCTCAGATAAAGGAGGTTGCAACCTTCCGGCTAGATCTCTCCATTTTTGGGCGTAATCTTTAAAGCCGTCATTGGAAACCATGGCCATACTCGGAAGCTGAGTACAGGTAGGCGCCAAGTCAGCGTTGTATTGATATTGTTTATAGAAATCTGCTGCTAGGTCTTCCCAATTATGGACGTCATCCCTCTCCAACTGGTAGAACCAATCAAGTTGTGTTCCTGATAAATTGTCTTGGAAAAAGTGGACCCACAAGTCTTTGTCGGCAGAATGTGGTTTAATCTTCCTGACATAGGATCTGAGGTGCATTTTAGGGTAAGACACCCCATCATACTTGGAAAATAGTGGCACTTTAAATTTTGGCGGTATTACAATTCCTGACACCAGCCCTAACTCCTCAAAATCTAGCCCTGGTACTCTCTGGATTTCCATAGCGCTTAGTCGCTCTTCAAGGTGTTTGTACTTGTCATCAGTCAGAGGGTATTATTGTTTAGAGTAGTCCTCTTCTTCCTCTTCTTCTTCTTCAGAATCTGATGGTACTGCAGTTCCTTTTCCTTTTCTTTCCCCTTCATCAGATGTCGTTGGAAAATCTAAGGTCCTTATGGATTGTCCCTGAAATCTTCTGCCCATGATTACCACACCAGTTGGCTTCTTCTTCTTTTTCTTTTTCTAGCAGAGTCTTCAGCTCCTCTTGCCCCTTGGCTAAGGTCATGAGTAACTGCTGAAATTGCGTATTCTGAGCTTGTAAATCTTTGACAGTTTATTCGAGATCCATCGTACTGAAATAAACAGTAGAGAGATGAGGAAACTTGTTGTAAAGACCTGTTTATGCTTATGATGAATGATATGTATTCATGCGATGTTTTCAAGGATTTAGAAATTCAAATTTGTTTTAAACAAAAAAGAAACACACGTCATATTAATAAGATAGAATTTGAGTACATCAATGCCCCTTGGGCAAAATAATATAAAATTCTAAGGTAAAAAGACGCTGCGCATCCTCTTTGGTGCAATGTATGTATTGAGAGTCTGCTCTTCATGAAGTAGCCGAGTGAGTTCCAAAACCTTTTTCTCGCTTGCGTAGAATTGGGCTTCGAAAGTATCGCGCTCTCCCTTGAGTTGTATCCAATCCCTTTGTAGATCTTCGAGTGATGTTGGCATGTCAGGATGTAGGATAGTGTATGGAACTTCTCCTTCCTTAACAGGCTCTATAATGACTGGGAGAATGGAGGGGTAAGGCATCATAAGACTTTGAGCGCGGGTTCATACCCACTTGAGGTAAGGCTCAAGAGGGATGGAATTCTTGTGTCCCAAAGTCTTGATATCCACCTTGTTTGGCATCCTCCAAGCTCGGATGAATCTCTGACAAAGTCCTTGATCATCGTTGTTATAGTCGAAAACCAATCCTTGAATCAGCATATCATTTGGGTCATCCCTTCGGGCATAACCAAACTGTCTTAAAGATAAGCACGGGTTGTAGGTGATGCCTCCCCTAATGCCAAGTAGAGGGACATTAGGGAATTCCCCACAACAGTCAACAATAATAACATTCTCTTTGGATCGAGAACACCAATGAATATCTGAATGGTTAAGTGTCATTAACCTTTGTGACAACCTCAAACCTTGCTCATTCTTCAAGACTGATTGGTGAAGATGAGAAATAAACCATCTTGCCAGGAGAGGAGTGCAGCACATAAGAACACCTCTTTTCCTCATTGTACGAGTGTGAAAAGAGTGGAGGATATCCCCAAGCAATGTAGGCACCGGGTTGCGAGACATGAAGATTTTGACAGCGCTTACATCTATGAGTTGGTCAGGATTAGGGAACAAGACCATCCCATAGATGAGAAGAGCTACAATCTCCTCAAAAACTTGCAAGTCTAGGGAATCCCAACAACTTTGGGCCTTCTCAAACAGAAACTTTGACAAGAAGCCTTTGACACCACTTCTAGTTTGCCAATGTGTTGTGACATCAGATGAGTGCAAGTGCAGGGCTTGAGCAATCTCTTCTGGCTTTGGATCTCTTTCTGTACCGTTGAAAGGTAGTTGATTGAGAATAGGAATCCTCATAAGTTGAGAGAATTCTTCCAAAGTGGGCACAAGTTGATAGTCAGGAAATGTGAAGCAATGATGCAAAGGGTCAACGAATTGGAAGAGAACTTTCATCATATCCTCCTCTGTGTTGGAAGTGACTAAGTTGAGTAGACGGCCATGCCTCTCAGTGAATGGAGAATTCTCAGGAATCCTTGAAGCTAGCTCCTTGAGTTGTGGAGGAATTCTTACAAGGTTGATTTGGATAGTTTTCCTGCGAAGTGAATCCATAACCTACAAAACAAGAACAAAGATGAATCTCCAACATCCTTGAAATGGTTAGTGAATGCATATGATGTTCATGATGTCCATGATATTATGCACAAGTATACATGTACAAGCAAATCAAGCAAGTTCTTAGTTTAGGCTTGCATGGGGTTTCATAGGTAAGTACCCTCTTGAAGTTTAGTTAGCTCAACCTGTCCTAGTAATAGTAACCGGGTTCTAAGGAGCTCAATATCACTGGATTGTTTCCTTGTTCATTGTTTCAGTTCAAGCCTCTTTACTGGCGACCAAAATATTCCAAGAAACCAACCCTCAATGAGTGTAGTATCGAGTATCTACCAACTTCGGACTGCACCAAAGCCGGTCATCTCACTACATCCTAAAAGGCCAAGTTAGTCAAGTAAAGGTTCTAAAAGTTCATTAGTGCTTCATGACATCACTCAGCGGCCCTGTATTCTCTTTTATTAACTCAAAGGCTACCGGTACCCACAAATATGTCGCACTAATATAGCTATTGCTTAGACCATGTCGGTATACCCTGCATAGTTTCCACAACGTATTGCTATTTACCTATAATGTTTCCCAAATCCGGGTGGAGGATTCAAACCCAAACAAAGAACCATAATGTAAAGCAAACAAGTCAAACAATTGCAAGTAAATAAAGGTGATCTAAACCCTAAGGTAACCCCACTTTTAGAATTTTCCCCAGCAGAGTCACCAGTTCTGTGATGCGGTGGGAGAATTGACTTGAGGTTTTGCGTTTGTGTTCGCAAATTTTGCGGTTAGCAAGAGTCGCCACCGACTTTTATTTTATCCAAAAGGAAAGGTAAAAAAGCACAGGAAAGACCTTTGAGATGTTTTCTTGAGTTCGGGGGGTAGATTATGAAAAGGAAAGGTGCTAGCACCCTTTTCATCCATGGTTTTCCATGGGCTCTTAGTTACTTGTTTAGATCACTTGCTTTGTTTTGTTTGAAATGGTGTTTGGTGTGGTTTTGAAAGTATTTTGTAAAAGAGGCCATTCGTTTAGGCAATCTTTATAATGATTCTCGTTCGTAAGAATGTATACAAAGATGTTTGTCTTTTGAAAATGTTTTTAATGTTTTGTAAGATGTTTTGAAATGTGTGTGTTTGTTTTTTAAAATAGCAAGGATTATTTTGAAATGTAACAAGTAACTAGAAGCTATCTACCTACTCAAATGTCTTTCTTGTGCATTTTTATTCCTTTGACATTGTTGACTTACCATTGATTTGGTAAGCAACCCTATCTTTGGATGTAACTGGGACGGGCGTGGGTCATCGTATGACCATGATAGCAATGTTGCCAAGTATCTTAGCAATTTTTGAGAGACCAAGATCATCTTTATTTAGGAAACCTTTTGATAGCGTCATCGAGGGACTATGATCTTATATGTTTTTGTTTTGCCAAGATACTTCGCGTGCGTAACATGGCCATTTTAATTTTAGGCAACCAAGTGGGAGAAACCCTAGGGGTGCCTGTGTGCAATGTGTGTCATTTTCATGCTTTTGTCTTGCATTTAGGGTTTTCTATTTTACTTTGTTTTTTTGTTCTTGTCATGCAAACCCTAATTTACTAATCATGGTATAAAAGCGATAAATTACGTAATTGTAAACTAAACTATTACAACAATTATTATGGGAGGGGGGATACAAGTTTTGAATGGGGATTTTGCACAAATATAAACCTAAATATATTATTACAACCAAATCAAATATTGCGCGAATTAAATAAATAAGACAAATATTTAAAATGCAATGCAATGTTTATGTTAAAAAATGTTTTTATGTCTTGCTTTTTTGTATAAGAAATATATTTAATTTAAACCCTAAAAACTATAAGGAAAAGAAATATATTAATTCTTTTTAAAAGGGGTGAAACCCTAATTTTCAAATAAAATAAAATAAATGTTCTATATTTATTTTTGTACACTTTTTTGTATAAGAACATAATAAATAATATTATATATAAATATTAAAAATTAAATATGTACAAAAATAAGTTTTTTATGAGTATAAATAGTGTAATAAAAATATTAAGTATTTTTAAATATATTTACAAGTTATTTAAGAAAATAAGTTCTATTTATCAAAATAAACTAATTTTCTATGTAAAAAAAAATTGCAAAAATAAAGAAATTATTTTTAGGATTTTTTATTATTCAGAAAAAATAAATGAAAGTGTTAAATATAAAAATATGAAGAAAAATGCAAAAATATAACAAATTAGCCAGGGGGTGTAAATAATAAGTCAGAGGGTGTGAATAGCAGAAACAAAAGGCCTAGGGCGCCAAAAAGCCCAAGACACTCCATCCCTGTCCTTGGTCAGCTTTCATGCGCGCGTTTTCGTTCAAACCTGTAACTCTCTCATGCTTGCACAAAAACAAAAATTCATAACATGAAAAATGTGGCATTTAAGATCACGATTCTAACCATATAAATTATGTGACCTAACTCTTAAAGATCAGAGAGAATTTTGGTAGCCCTAATTCATGACCTAACTTTTCCAGAATTTTCAATCTTCAAATTCTCTCAGCATAGTTAATATAAATGAAAAGTATGGATATGTACAGTTTCATTATGACATGGACTACATTTTTTCTTCACAAATCGTGGCTTGAGGATGCCTATTCAGAGAGATAGAGTTCAAGAAAATACCTCCTTCAGTTGGATTTGTGTAGGATAATGTAGGGACTTTAATGGAGGCCTGATGATTGTTTAAGCTTCCTTGAACTTCCCTGAACCTATTCCAATGCTTAACTTGCTCTGAGGATGGCTGAAACTCTCTGGACAAGTCAAGCTGCAAGCTTCCAAAGTGAAAATGGTGGGTGCTGAAACAATGGTTACAGAACTAGGGCGATGGCTTGGATAGCTTTGGTATGATGTGTGTGTGATGTTTGAAGTGTTTAATCACAAAATGCACGAGCCAAATAAGAGTTGGCTATGGTTTTGTAGAAACTGAGTGTTTGGATAGAAAATTGGAGTTTTTCAGTTTGAGAGTGTTTTAGCTTCAATCCAATCGTGCTATGCATTGTGACAAGTTTGTATATTTGTATAGAAGGGATACAAAGTCAGCTCTTCACTAGCTGTGCAAGCCTTGGACCTTTTCACCAACTTTCTTGCTTTTGAAGTAAAGTGAAGTGACTAATCTCACATGCTTGAGGCCTGAAATGAACTTGTACCAACTGCTTGAGAGCTGTGTAAGTTTCTTGCATCAAAGAGACGGGTTCAATGCTCAAGATTGACAAAGTTGCAAAAGCTTCTCTTTATGAAAATGGCATTGTGAACTTTATGCCAAAAATGGAAATACACTTTGTACAAAGCTTCAAAAGAAAAGAAAAAGCCTTTGTCAACTGACTTTGCATTTAATTATGGAGTGTAAATCAATATTAGGACCTGTGAAGCAACATACAACCATCATATATCTGATTTGCAACTTGATGTTTTGTAAAAATGGCTTGAACAAAAGTGATAAAATGCCAACTTCCCTTCTTCGATTCTCCCTACTCAAAAATGATCTTTGAGAGTTCTTGGACATTTTGGAAAGCTTGCAATGTGCTCTATAATCCATATTTGAAATGAATTTTTATATACCTCTTGTAACTAGGTGAAAAATGTCCATGAAGTTGGGTCCAAAACTTGCCTAAATTAGGGCAAAATTTCACTAAGTTAAGAAGTTCATGGACCTATATTCACAAATTCATAACTTGAGATCCAAGCATCTTTTGGGAAAGGTTTGTGAAGAAAAGTTGTAGATTTCATGGAGGACTACAACTTTCATGTTGGAAGTTTTCTTTGAATCAAAATGCATCATTGTGAAAAAGTGGTGAAAAGTTGGGAAAAAATAAGAAAAATTTTATACTTAGAAATATTCCAAGTTATGAAATTTTTTCAAATTAAAACCCTAATTTTCAATTTTGAGTTTCTTGGTGAACAAGTTTCATATTTTAACATATCTTGATAAATTATGACCCTTGGCACTTGATTTTGACCAAAAAGTCAAAGTTTGACTTTTCAGTGCACAGTTGACTTTTGATCAGTTGACTGCAAAATTCATTTGTCAATCCAATGAACTTGAGATCTTTTGAACCATGTAATTAGGTAAAGATGATGCCATTGAACCCTTTAAATCATGTTTGAACCCAATTGGTCATTGTCTAGGTTAAAAATCAGAAATTGCCCTTTCTCAGTCAAAACCCTAATTTTGACCGTTTTGCCCTTTTGATGATTTGATCAAATTTATTGAGGAGTTATGATCCAAACTTGATCAAATGGTACATATGAGCCTAAAATGTTGAAGTGGATAAAAAATTATAAAGTTTGACTGTAAATTGGCCATGGTTGACTTTTCCCCAATACAGTTGATTTTTAGGTCAACTGTCCAATTGACTGATCAAAATTGTGGTTCAAGGCTTGAAACTTAACATGAGCAATCTTAGGGGTCCAACATGATGTATGAAAGTCACATGAAGCATTTATGGTCCAAAAATCCTTGTGCAAACTCAAACCCTAATTTTGGGTTATCAGTGCAAGATGAGATGTCTTGAGCTGACCAAACCCTAACCTTGTCTTGAGTCAAAGAAGTCTTGAGAAAAACCTTGATAAAATGAGAGGGAAAATTTTTGGGTACAACACAAGGCAATTATTTTTCTTATCATTGTCATTTGTTGTCTGCAATACAAGTGGATTTGGATAGAAGTAGACCTCTTATTGAAGGATCCATGCAAGGAGATTCAGGGTTCATTCATAATTTGATTCAGGAGTTTCATACAAATATGCAACGGAAGTTTAATTCATTTATCTTGAATCATGGTTCATTTTATATAAATCAAGGAAAACTTGGAATTTAAATGCTAAGAGGAAGAAAAAGCCCATTCAAAATCCATTTAAATGGTTACTTTGGTTATAGTTTGTTAAATTGGACCAACTTTCCTTGAAGAGTGAGTGTGTGGATTGTTTGAAGTTCGAGTGATAGATAAGGGTCATTAATCATCTAATGTTCATTATTTGAAAATCATCTTGATTCGAACATCATAGAATTCATCAACCGAGTATTGATTCGAGTCCATTCAAATAATCAAGCATCATTTAAGGTTCTAATTAAAGTTCTTCAAATCCCACTCAAAAGACATATGAATCTATTCAAGTGCATTTCATTCACTCGGGTTCAAATACATTTCAAATATACCATTCAGAAACCATATTTCCATTATGAGATTGGTCTAGATACATCCTTATTACTTTAACCAACTCATACAAAATACATTTGAACCAAAGTTCCTGAATTCTGAACCTTAGATATTATCTTCATCTTCCAACTATTCTTCATGCTTCTTTGCCAATTCCTTTGGTAACCTTCAATCCAATAAATATACTTCATGCATCATGTGTCCATTTCGAGCCTCCACCATGCTAGCTTTTACCAAAACATCTCCAAATCAGCTCACGACTCGTCCAGACAGTCCTAAAATATGACAAAAAAGTCCATACATGCTTTGCCATCACTTTAGTCCTGCTTTGCACTTCATGCACCCACATGGCTGACCCTGTATAAAAAAAATAAAGAAAGGAGGAATTAATTAAATCTGCATTCAAGGTCATTACATTATCGTACTACTGCATTCACTAACAGAAAGATTGGAAAAAACAATGAAAAACAACATCTAAAGCTAGCATTTGTGGCATTTAAGGGATTTTGCAAATTGGATGTGGATATGAGACCAGTTTTGTTGCCATATATGAAATTCACATTAAAGAGTAATGAAACTGACCTCGTTGATGTGGAGGAGGAGCTGTCGTTAACTGAAAAAGCGATCACGAGTGCGTATGATATATGTATGATTCTAGACCCGTCGAGAAGTGTTCCTTATATAGAAGGATGGCCTATTTCGAAAGTCGATGTTTTTTTAGTTGACATTAAGAAGGAGGTCTGCTTCTTACTTTTTAGTTCCATCACTGATGGGGTATGGTCTGTGATTGAAAAAGACGTGGATTCTTCCTCTTCCGGTCAAAATTCTACAGTTGCAAATGAAATCAAACATGCATACAAAAAGAGAAGAGTCATTAAAAATCCTACAAAACATGCGTTAAATATTAATGAAGATGGATTTTTGCAAATTGGATATTCTTTTGTAAAGGAAGTAACAGGTGAAACTTTCCAAAATGGCTGTATCAGAAGTGTGTTCTTCTGTGGATGCAATTAGGGTATTTCTTGAAGTTTTGGTTGATCCAATGCTTCCATAAAAACCTTCTATTCAAGATGATCCTCCTCTATCTCAACAACAGAAAATCGCAAAACAGGTTCATTCTGTTGTGTTACTGTACAATTATTACCATAGAAAACAGAATTGTAACAGAAACTTCCAACTACTTCCTGTGACTTCCCCAAATCCTAACTGTCAAACCAAAGTTTTTTCTAACAGTTTCAAACTGACTTATAATAGAATTCCTAGTCTATTAACCATTCCAAACAGCATTGCTAACACAAAGTAACAGAAAAGAAAGAGGTTGTAACATAAACTAACAGGATAACTCATAACAGAATTTGATAAGCAATAACTAACTTTCAAGTTCAAATAACCAACATTTAACAAACTCAAACAGAATTGCTAACAACTTGCAACTAACTCTAACAACCTTTAACCAACTTCTTAACCAAATCTGTAACAGAAACGCTAATTGATTTTGCTAATTTCTAACAAGCTGTATAAACAGTTTCATACCAGATTATTAGGTATTCTGGAATTTGCTGAACAATGACTAGAAAAATCTCAGAGCTTCAAACTTTCTTCAATCCTCCATCAACCTTCACCAACTTCTGAACCAAGCTCTTCATTAAAATTCTGCAGTCTTCTTCCATATTCATTAACCTCTCAACGAAGCTCTTCATTACGACTCCTCAATCTTCTTTCATCTTCATCTCTTCAAGCTCACTTCAATTCATCATCATCACCGCCACATCAATACACATCGAGATTTTGCATAACCATCATCGTCACGTCGTAGCTTTCAACATTGACCGCTTCATAGAATCTGCAACAGGCCATAGAATCTGCAGCAGGCCACAAGGCATCGTGCACAAGAAATCCACAGGAAATCACAAAGAAATGCAACGAATCAGAAATAATCAAGAATGAATGATTACTAGAGTTCATTGTTTTCTGGTTTTCTCACCATTTCGCTGTGATCGAGGAGAACAATTGAAGACAGTGACGACAAAGCTTGATGAACTGGCGACGAATATGAATCACAAATGAAGATTGAGTCATGCGTGAGACAAACTGAGATTAGAGAGAGCTTACCATATTGTATCAAAACACATCGACTCCTCGATTATATTGAAGGAACAAAGGAAGAAGGAATATTCGCTTATCAAGGATAGATAAAATCCCTGCAATCATCATCGGAACCTCCTCTATGGTCTTCTTTATCGTCTTCGAGTTCTTTGTGACAATCTCCGCCGGTAGGTTTCCGAAGACTTAAAATTGCTTGTTCTCTCTTTCCTCTTCTTGACATCATGTTGTGGTCTGTGTATTTTTGAATAAGCACCATATGATTATTGTATGTTTGCTCGCCTGAGCATAAGCGGAATTCGTTCTAGGTGTTTTAGTTTTTTGGATTTGTTAGATTTTTAGGATTTAGTAGTAATCTAAATGAGTGGAAGAGAGTTGGATGAAAGTGAGACATAAAGATGAGAGAAGAAGGAAATGATTGTGCATGATGCGGGAGAAGCCATGACATGGCGGCGGCGAAAGGCTGAAGAAAACATCACAAACGGCGCCATTCACAGAGAAGAAGAGAGAAGAAGCTCAATTGTCGCTTCATCCCAAACCTAATTCCTCTTTCATTTTATTTTATTTATTTATTATTTTAATTTTTTTGAATTTCGTAAAACAAAAAAATAATAATAATGCTGAAGATTTTTATTTTTTGTGTTGGAATATAGTTGGACCGGGCCTTCCTTTACACTGAGCCCATGATAGTCTTTTTGGAGTCAGCATGGCATTAAACACAAATTGGGTAATGGGTTCAATCTGGATAGGCCTAGCGCCCTGTTTTGATTCACACTCCCCAAATACTGGTTTCCCACCCCCTGTTCATGATTTGTAGATTTTTTTTTATAATTCTCTTCTATCATTTTCTTTTTTTTTCTAAGTAGAGTTAGTGAATTTTAGGAGATAATAAAAATAATAAAATAAAAAAAAATTGTTTTTTTAAGATTTTTATTATTATTTTATTTTTAGGAATTAAATCTCGATTATCCGATTATTCGAAATGTGTGATTCACCTTGGCTTATTGAGATTTGAGCCTTATGCAGGTTTATAATGCGGATGCGCTTGAGACTTTGACTGTGATTCATTTTCACAATCAATGATGCGTCGACACTTATTCCGGGCATTTGATTTCTAACTCTTTTCTTTGTTCATGCTAGCAGCTCGCAAGATCATCGGGTTTCTTTGCTTTTTGCTTTGCTCTACGGGCTAGTACTCGTTTGGTATATTTTCTTTCTACGTTCACCCCGCATTTATCGCTTCCTATAGATTGTGTGAAGTATGATAACATTAGGTTTAGAAATAGGCTAGTCTCCCCTTGATTTTTCTTTCTTTTGCATTTGCACTAAAACTAAAACTTTTTTTTGGCAAACTTCAAAAATACTTAAAAATTACTGACGAGAGTCGTGCCTTTGTTGAACATGGGAGATGATAAGCGGGTCTCTTCTCGATCTTATCATTTTTCCATTCTAAGCCTTGGCATCGTTCAAGTCTCAAAGACTCATTTCATAAACAAGTAGAGAAATGGTTAATATCTCTCTCTTGAGATCAACTAGCCGTTATCTACAAGCAAAAAACACCAACAAACACAAACTCTTTTTGCCTATGGGCGTTTCTTTCAAACCCTTTTCAAGAGAACAAGTTAATTCCCTTATGTGCTGACGCGTAAGTCTCCAAAGGTTGAGTTGCGGCAGAAGGAGAAATTAATATTGTTCATTAAAAAAAACACAAACCAATTCAAACCTTTTTGTGCGCCCAAGCACCTTTTCTCCAAAGCTTTTTCAAAAGAGCATGTTAATTCACTTATGTGCTGACGTGTAAATCTCCAAAGGTCGAGTTGCGGCAGAAGGCAAAATTAATATTGTTCATTAAAAAATACAAACCAACAAAAACATATGAGCCGAACTACGACTGCTCTGATTCCTTAAAAGGGATACGTAGGCATCGGGGTAGGGCCCGAACGAGCACAACTTTTATTTTCCCTACATTCTTTTCTCATTTCTTTTGCATGCATTCTCCCTTCAGTAGTATAGTAAACAATAAGCATAGATTAAACACACCTATAAGATAGATAACAAGAGTGGATACCGTAGAGTATTACGAACGCGTGGGTGCTAATACCTTCCACTCACGTAACAAACTCCCTTACCCGATCTCTCGATCGTAAGACCGTGACTTCTCCCTTCTCAGGTTTTCTCGATGTTTATCTTTCCCTACATGTGGGATAAAAGACGTTTGATGGCGACTTCATTGTTTGATGATTTTCATCCGGTTGTTTCAGCGGGCACGAAGAAACTCCTCGCCTCTCTGCAAATGTAGATCCCAAACAAACACCGCATTGATACGAGAAAAAGACGAAGTCGACCAAGTAAATTCTCCCAGAACAAGTCGACCATGCCACACGCAATCTCAGAGTCCTTCTAGACCTAAATCACAGAGTCATCCCCGATGGGAGTTGACAATTTCCCCTCTTGGGCAACACTTCCCCGACATATGAACTGATCTTAAGTCATCGCCCTTTTGCCTAAGGGAAATAACTTGAGGGGCTCCTGTTCTAGACTGGGCTGACACCTGCCCCACCGTTAGGGAGGCCCAATCCAGCGCCTCTACATGGGCCTAAAAGCATGCAATCCAAACCAAGGACCGTTGGACATTTCCCCGCGTGTCCATTAGAGGAGTGTGACTTGCGCGTGTCTATAACACCATCATCATGCCCTCCGAGAATAACGGGTCCAACTTCCATATTTTCTCGGGGCAGTTGACCAGGGAGGAGGCCAGGTGCTGGACTCCATACACCCGTAAACCCTGACAGTCTTTATTATTGGGTCTTATCATGGTCTAACACTGAAGACCTTGGCCCGACACCGGGGCTATAAAAACTCTCTCACTTGTGAGGGTCAGATATTCACTCATTCATACTCTCACACTTTACTTGCACTTACTCTGAATCTTACTTTGGCATCGAAGTATCTTGTACTCCCCATTTCACATTCAAGCGTTACTCAACTCGAAGTTCGTGGGCCTTGACGCCCTTCTGATCAAGTACGATCACATTCCATCAAATTAACAAAAATACTCAAATAATAAAATGAAATATCTAGTCCATTCGACTCAATTTCACTTCATTCTATTAGGTTTTATTCCACTCTACTTTATTCTAGTCCATCAGTCCAAACATAGTCCAACAAAGAGATAACGTTTTTAGTCTTCCTCTCTCGTTTTTTTATATTCTTTTACATTTCTATATATATTTTGGCCTCAGGCCTTTTGATTATCCTATATATATTTTGTGTTAGGATTCTTAATAATCAATAATTATTAATCTATACTTAATTCAAGATGAAATAGAAAGCGAAAGCGTCCCTTTATGATCTATGGAATTTTAATGAGAAGATAATGATCTTGATAGGATAATGACCTTTCAATTGTAGATTTTTTAATTTCTTAATTTCTCTTCCAATTGGATAAAAAGAATAAATATTCTATGATATTTTCCAGTATCTACAATCGGAGACCATAACCACTTATAAATAAAAACCCCATGCCCTTTCATGAAGAGTCATGTTTATTCAAGTTTAGTATCCCATGTCCTTCTATGAAGACTCATGATTATTCAAGTTTTCTTATTTCAATTTTACCTATAAATAAGACTTTTAGTATCTTACACAATATTTTTCATAAAAATTATATCCTTAACCTTAAACCTCATATTAAATAGACCACTTTAATTTAATTAATTAAATAATAATTTTAACACATTAATTTATTATATATATGATTAAAAAAAATACTTACATTTTGACCTTTGACCTTTTGATTAAAAAAAGTTTAATTTTTATATCTCGCAATAGAATATTATTACATTATCAATAAATTACAATTCGTTTTATGTGTAATTTTCAAAAGTTAAAATTAACATCAAACAATTACAATTAACTAACATTAAAAATGTTCTTTCATTAACCGCATATAAAAAAATGAAATTCATCCTATGTATTGAATATATAGAAGAGTTATTTTTGATATTTTCATTTATATTTACTATTTTATCTATTGATAAAAAAAATATTATTTTTTCATTGTGACAACTGTTTTAATTTTAATGTGATATAAATATAAATTCGTATACAAAAATTTATTGCTTTGCCAACTTTTTTTTTTGACAAAATTGTTTTGCCAACTTATATAAAAATTTTGTTTCTAAATTAATCCCTTTGCTTTAAAATATCCATAAACATATAAATTTAATAAAGATGCACTAATATTATAAAAAAGTTTTATACTATCATTAAATAGGAATATATCATTCTGCTATGTCATATAAAAATTTTAAAATTATAATTTTATTTAGTGGTGTATATAATCATGATTAATTGACATTATAAAATTAATTAATTAATTTACATCGCCAGTATATTGTCTATTTTCTTTTAACATATATTAGTATAAAATAAAAATATTTATAAAATATGTGCGTGCTAGCTAGTGTATATACAGAAGAACAAAGAATTTTTTTTATTAATAACCAAGTATTAAAATAATATTTCGCAAATAACCGGGTTTCGGAAAAAAATACGCAAATAACCATGTTTCAGATGACTCCCCAAAGGAGGAGTCATCTGAAATGGCGCATGCACCTATTTTTTTAAGGGAGGCGCCATCTCACTTGGCGCCTATGTGCTTAGGGCATGCCCTAAGCCAAGTGAGATGGCGCCTAAGTGTATTTTTAGGGCAAAAAATTTTTTTTTTAATTTTTTTTCCTGTGCATTGCCTGTTGGACAGAGATCAACAAAATGGACTTTTTATTAAAAAAAATAATAATTACATCCAACTGTATTACATTAAAATAACAGTAAAAAAAATGGATACAAAAATACTGGGAAAAAAAATATACATCAGTGATCCCCCGGAACCCGGTAATGACCCCCGGTTCCGCATCCCCGTCCTCGCCTTTCTCGTGCTGGGTGTCGTCGCGTTTCCTGCTGCGGCAAGGTCGATGACCCATGAAGTCAATGCGGTCCGAATCCATAAAATCAGTCAGATCTCCATATCTAGAAGATCCACTCTGGTACAGTCGGTTACCCATACCCTCAAAGTTTGGTCGTGTTGGCGGTGGATGGGGTTCCATGATTGGTCTGTAGCATTGGTCGTCTGAGTACGGGGGGTAGAAAGGAAATGGATCTTGGGGTGTTTGGTATTGAGGATGTTGGGTGGTTTGGTGATATGGTGGGTGATGGTAGGTTTGGTCGGCTTGGTCGTAATCTTCCGACATTCCCATATCAGGGCTAAGGCTGGATGTTGAGGGTGCCATATTGGGATATGTGGAAGACTGAAATTGTGTGTGGGGTATGTGGGTGTGCTAGTATTGGGGTTGATATTGTGGTTGGGTTTGAGGCATATCAGGGTATTGGTAGTTTGGTGGTGATTGTGGTTGGTTGTACGACATTTGATTGTAGTTGTGTTGTGGTGGAGAATGTGGTTGGGTGTTTGTGGGTCTGTTTCTTCTTGGGGGTTGGTGGGAGGTTGATGGGTTTTGGGTTTGTTGATGGGGAATCGAGGGTTGTGCCCATTGTGTGCGTGGGTCAACCAAGTACCTTGGATGAGACACGTGCATTTCTGGGTTACTAACCGACCTGTACCACGACAAATATTGATCCGTGTGTCGCATGTTACCTTGAGTAAGGAAAACCGGGAATTGCAAGACATAGCGGTGACGCCTCTGCCACATCTTACACCATTCCGGAGCGAAGTCTTTCCAGTTGGTAAGACCCCACTGGGCGTCGACCCTTTTAAGATGCCATGGGGACAAATCTGTTGGATCACTTGGTATCTCTTGATGCATTCCGAACTGCATCTTCACACGGTCGCTGTGGTGCAT